TGTGTGTGTGTGTGTGTGTGTGTGTGTGTGTGTGTGTGTGTGTGTGTGTGTGTGTGTGTGTGTGTGAGAACGATGGATACAATTCTCTCTTTGCCAATTTTGAAAAGTCAAAAAACTTCTGATCTGTCTTCTTCTGAAATAAAATAAATTATGTTTTCATGGGTTTTTCCTTAATGCTTCAACAATTAGTTATTTTCTGTGTTTCGTGTGCTTTTAAATTAAGTTTCTGTTTTTTATTTATTTTTTTGCCACTAAATGTAAGCCTTGGTCATAAGGTCTGCCTCACTTCTTCTATGTTATTTAAACAAACATATACGCTCTTACATTGTTTACACTCAAACTATTTTTTCAATCATAAGGCTATCTATGCAAATTTTTAAACAATGCAAAAAACATTTAAAAGTCTGCATAAATGTACCAGTTACCATGAATAACTTAACAAAAACCTAAACATTAACAAACGTGTTGAAAGAGGACATTAACATGCATATCGGATCCAAATATGTTGTTATTTTTAATAAGACTAGTGTTAAAATAAATGAAAAGTATATAAAATGATAAGAAATACATTAAATATAACTAAATAAAGCAGGTTTGATTCAAACTGTTCTTTTAAAGCTTTTATAACATTTATTTGGGTTTGTATATTAATTTAGAATTTAACTAAATGTCAAATCAAGTATTATTTCAATATCTTAGACTAATATTATTAAGAAAATATGAGCCAGTTGTTTTGTTTTGTTTTATTTTATTTTAATTTAAGTACTAGACATCCTGATCCACACTCCATACCAGCTGGTGGCAGTAATGCACCAATTCATTGTTTGCCAACCGCCAATAAACCTAAAACAAAACCTCAAAAAAGAAGAAGAAGAAACTGTCGCGTCACCTGCCACGCCCTCTGACGCTGGACGTCACGTCACCTTACGTCGGAACTAACAGCAACTTCTGCTGTGTGTTCCCAAAGCAACAGAAACGGCCATTTAATTAGATATCCAAGTATTTTTTTCAGGATATCAGACTCTGACGGTGTAACGTCTAATGGCGACAACAATCCGGAGGAGAGCAACGCGACGTTAAAACGCTAAAAGAGAAGAAGAAGCAACAGGAGGCTCAGACATGGCGGACAGGTCTCCACCTATCAAATAAAGACACCAAGCAAAGCGGAAACCGAGGAGGAGAGCCGGCTTTTTGTTGTTGTTGTTTATTCTAATGTTGCCCGAATAGCCGGGGCTTTTCCTCAGGACTGTAAGCCTGCATGGCGTCCACTCCAGTCCGGCTCGGCCCGCAGGCCTTAGCGGTGCTCGATGTGGTCCTGAGAGTTCCGTGTATCTTTATTATCGACGCCATTTTTAACTCGTACTACGACCCGGGTTCGGGATGGACCGGCACGATGGTGAAGGTGTTGGTGAGAGTCATGGGTAAGTTTTGGGTTTTTAAAGTCCAGTACAGGAGCCTGAACAACTCGTGTCAAACTGACAGCTAGCGTTAGATTAGCCGTGACGTTAGCAGTCAGCAGAGTGACGCTATGTCACCTGTCACACCTGAATAAAGCCGATTTAACCACCGCTAATAACATCAATACAAGCCGGGTTTATCTGACACAGTGCTGGCTCTTCTGCCTCAAACATAATTCAGTCTGAAATTTAACTTTTGATGCTAACAACTCGCCATCTCTCTCTAGCTAACCGCTAAAGTCAGGTATTATTTTTCATCCCAGGTGTTGTGATACATTCTGTATCCCTAGAATCCTACGGTTGTCCTTAAAGTAAGGTTTAGGCCTTTTAGGCAGCCTGACATTCTGCCTGTCAAGATATATCTCTAGCCTATAAAAGCTGTTATGTTATGTCAATCATAGTCTGAACTCTGTGTAAGAACACAGTTAATATTTCAGTAATAACCACAAGAGCTAAACTATATTTATCATTCTCGAAAATAGTGAAAAATGCACAATTTCCCAAGTTTACTTACTTTTACACTTTGTTTAGTCTGACTAATAGTGCAGAACTTAAATATAATATCAATATATTAACATAGACAAGAATGAAAACCTATAAAACTAGAACCATTAAAAGTTTCAACTTTTTGTTTTTAAAATGACTTGAAAATCAATTTAAAAATTAGTTTCGATGAACTACTCGAATAATCAACAATCATGTGACCTCCAATAGCCCCATCATCATCATCATATCATATATGAGTTTAATGTTCATAATCTCAAAGGCCTTGTTTGCATTTTTACAGTCTGATATGCGGTTTCAGTTTTCTTTTACACAACTCATAAAAACATCATTTAAACTAGCATTTTAATCATTGCGTCACATGATTCTTGACTAACATGTCCATGTTTCTGTGCCATTTGACAGACAAAGCTAGTCAGTGTCTTGATCCTAGTGTACGTTAACCACAGCTGCTGTTATTCTCCCCACACAGAACAATGTGGTGGAAGAGAACATTGTAGACAAACAACGACCCGGTTACATAACTCTCCGTTTGTTCAGGTTACCTTTGAACGGCTCCATAAAAGTCCACTCGGTGTTGGCCAAGAGCTCTGTGTTTTGGAGAGGAGTCAGCCAACAGTCTGAAGACTCTTCAACCCACTTTTTAATAATGTTTAGTGCCAGCAAGTAAAGCTAGTAGTGTTTGCCTGAAGTCAAAACTACAACAAGACTTCAGAAAAGTGCTCAAAGGCGATGCAAATCAACATAATGCGCACTATTATTTGAAGTAGAAGACTTCCACAAACAGCCCTTTAAGTCCATTCAGTCACTCTTTACAAAGCTGGTCCGAGGTTAACGTCGTCACTGACTAAAGCTGCTCTCTGTTAGAGGTTAATGTCGTTCAGGAGACAAAGAATCCATATAATAAACTAATGAACATGGTGCAGGAGAGATGACGATAACCGGGATATGTAAAAATGAAATGTTGATATCATGTTAGTTAAAACTAATTGTGATAATATTTATATATATTCTCTCTCTGTTTGCTTTGTTGCTTGGTCAACATTTGACTCATCAGGATTATCAGCTGACTGTTTACCTCTAAATCTCGTTTGTGTTGATATTGTTTCATCAGACAAACTTGAGAAGCTTCAGTCAGCGACAGTCCTGTGTTCACTTTCTACAACATCACATTTATTGTTAGGATATAAATAATGACAACAACAACAAATGAGTGTATGAATAAGATATGAAGCTGTTTACCTCATCACCAGATCCTGATGCTCCATCTGATAGAGAGACAGACAGAGAGAGAGACACAGAGACAGACAGACAGACAGACAGACATCGTTATAGGAGACAGTACCTTCCCTTTAACGTCCCCCCCGTTGTGTCTCAGGTGTGCTCGTTTCCAGCCTGGTGCTGCTGCTCTCCCAGAAGGCCTTGTTTAAGTTCTACACCCTCTTCTCCGCCGTCCTCCTCGGCATGGCGGCGGTGCTCATCAACTACTACGCCACCTCCCACATAGACTTCTACAGCGCCTACTACAAAGCGGCGCTGGGCTTCCGGCTGCTGCCCAGAAACGGGCCGACGCTGTGGCTGGGCGTGGCGGCGGTGCAGCTGGTGTTCGGCGTGGGCTACGTGTTCCTGCTCGACCTCCAGTCGGTGTTCGCCGCGCTGGTGGTCCTGGACATCATGATCCCTCTGTGGGGGCTGATGATCGAGCTGCCCGCCGACGTCCGGCAGATGGTGGCCGTGTTCTCGGGCCTGGCGCTGGCTCTGAACACGGCCGTGTGCCTGGCCGCGAGGCTCAAGTGGTTCTATTACTCGTGCCGGTACGTCTACCTGCTTGTGCGGCACATGTACCGGATCTACGGGCTCCAGCTGCTGCTCGAGGACACGTGGAAGAGGATCCGGTTCCCTGACGTGCTGCGAGTCTTCTGGCTGACCCGGGTCACCGCGCAGGCGCTGATCCTGGTCTACGTGGTGCGTGCGGTGAGGAGGGAGAGCGGAGACGGAGGCACCGACTCACAGGTGAGATCAGAACCGCCGAGTCTGCTTTTAATCAGGGTGTCTGACACTGAATTCAGTTCCTCTAAAAGGCCTCGGAGAGTGATTCTCTGACAAAGGTCTTGATAATTAGTTTTTTCCTTCTGTAGATGGTAACGTTGTTCTAAATATATTTATTTGTGTGTGGTTGTGAGCTGCTGTGGGAGATATTGCACATCTATAAACTGAAAGTGTGACTGCAGGATTAATCCAATATATATCCTTCTTATATGCAGCTGGAATAGTACTGACAAAAATGTAAAATAAAGTCCCTAAATTCATGTACTTGGATGAATACTAATCAGCCTTATCGTTGCCACTGGTTTTCCATTATTCTTTGACCTGTTTGATCGTTAGAATGCAATTTAATACGTTTTTGTCTGATATCAAAAAGGTCTTAAAATGTGTGTAATCGTTGTATATAAATGTAAAGGGAGCTTTAAGTAAGGGTGACTCTGTGTTTCAGGGCTTCCTGCTGAGCTGGGACGTGTTCTGGGATCTCACCAGTAACCTCATCATCTCCGGCTGTGACTCCACGCTCACCGTGCTGGGGATGAGCGCCGTCATCTCCTCCGTTGCTCACTACCTGGGCCTCAGCATCCTGGCCTTCATAGGTGTGTGTGTGTGTGTGTGTGTGTGTTACTAACTTTCCTTTAATCTATTTAATTTATAAGGATTCTGGAGTTCAGCGTCTTGTTTTGACCTTCTGCAGGTTCGACGGAGGAGGAGGATAAGCGTTTAGGCTTCGTGGCTCCGGTTCTGTTCTTCATCCTGGCTCTGCAGACCGGCCTCAGCAGCCTGGACCCCGAGGAACGCCTGGTACTTATCGTAGCTAGAAGCTGTAAAAAAACGTCATTATCATCAGATTTTCATCTTTCTGACGGTCCGTAAACTCATCGTGTGCGACGAACGCTTCAGTTCGGAATAACAAACAAAACAAAGCTTAAAATTGTGGTTTTTAAAAAGCCGCCCAGATGAACCGTTTACTCTCATCACGTACTGTAAAAAATATTGAATCCTGAGTTCTTCAGCACAACTAGGAAGCCATGATTGAAAAAAATCTATTGTATGAGGTAATAAGCTATAATGTAAGCTAATATGTTGCACACCTCTATGACGCATTACTACACAAACTATTTAATCCTTTATTCTCTTAGACTCTGAACTGGTAGACGTTGCTGACCTCTAATCCACGGAGACTTAAAGTCTTATTTTAACTTGTAATTGGCATTAAATGAGTCTTAAACTCTCTTAAGTCTAAGTTGATGAAACTTGGAGGCACCTTGAACCGAACACCTTGTTGATTTACCGACTTATTAGAAAGATAGTGTGCAGTATTGCTTGCTGTTAAACACTAGCAGAGGTTGTGTTTTTAACTTTATGCATCAGTGACTGAGAGCCTCTCGCTTTTATTTTGAAGGTCCGCCTGAGCCGGAACATGTGCCTCCTGCTGACGGCCATCCTGCACTTCGTCCACGGCATGACAGACCCCGTCCTCATGTCGCTGAGCGCCTCCCACGTCTCCTCCGTCCGCCGCCACTTCCCCGTCCTGCTGGTGTCGCTGGCGCTCTTCGTGCTCCCCGTGGCGCTCAGCTACGCCCTCTGGCACCACTACGCCCTCAACACCTGGCTGTTCGCCGTCACCGCCTTCTGCGTGGAGCTCTGCCTCAAGGTGAGGACGGAGAACCCGTCGGGTCTCACTGGTCTGTGAGGCTCTCGTGATAGAAGATGCACTTTCTCCTGCTTCCCTCTGACATGTTATTTTTCCTGCTTTTAAAGCTGAAAACTGTTTCCAGAATGTCTTTTGAAGGTATAAAGAGCGTGGAGATGGTAATGGATCAGCTGTGGATCACATAGGTGGAGACAGAAAGCGTGGCTTACGTAGAGAACAAGGTCTTTGATGTTCCCCTTCCTTGTCTCCCTCCAGGTGGTGGTGTCACTGACGGTCTACGGCCTCTTCATGGTGGACGGCTTCTCCAACGTCCTGTGGGAGAAGCTGGACGACTACGTCTACTACGTGCGCTCCACGGGCAACATCATCGAGTTCCTGTTCGGCGTCATCATGTTCGGAAACGGCGCCTACACCATGATGTTCGAGTCGGGCAGCAAGATCCGCGCGTGCATGATGTGCCTGCACGCCTACTTCAACATCTACCTGCAGGCCAAGAATGGCTGGAAGACCTTCATCAACCGCCGCACCGCCGTCAAGAAGATCAACTCGCTGCCGGAGATGCGCGGCGACCAGCTGACAAACATCGAGGACGTGTGCGCCATCTGTTACCAGGAGTTCTCCACGTCGGCGCGCATCACGCCCTGCCACCACTACTTCCACGCGCTGTGCCTGAGGAAGTGGCTCTACATCCAGGACACGTGTCCCATGTGCCACCAGAGAGTGTACGTGGAGGACGAGAGCCGGGACCGAGCCGCCTTTTCTAATAACAACGGGGGCTACGCGGCGCCGCAAGACGTCGCCGCGGCAAACCCAGCGGCTCCGGACGCCGAGCTGCTGGGCGACGATGGGGCGGCGGCTGGCCGCGTCCTGGCCGCGGCAGGACCGGGGGGGCTCGACAACGAGCTGCTGGAGGACAACGACAGCATAGAGTACGACGAGGACGAGTGGGGGACTCAACATGGCAGCTCGCCAGTAGAAGAAGACTATATCAACGATGACACAGACTCCACCGAGGACTGACAGGAAGAGATCTATAGAAGAGAAATATACGTATATATCTTTATTATATTTAAGTTAATAATTATAATTATAAAAAACACAACAGCATCTTAATTTGTTCTTGGAAAAATGTCAGGGATGTCATGCTTTTTATTCTTTTTTTGTTTTTGTTTGATTTTGAGTTTTACTCTAAAAGGGCTCGAGGAAAGATTAACTGCTGCTCTGAGTGAGTGTGTGTGTGCGCGTGTGCGTGCGTGCGTGCGTGTGTGTGTGCGTGCGTGCACGCCGAGGCTGCATGATGTAGACCAAAAACTCATACTTATTATTTTATAACCATTTTAATAACCTAAATTTTGAAATGTGTGCACAGCCGTCTCTGCACGGTTTATTAGCTGATCAAACATCAGTAAGTTCATGCACAGATTCTCTGCTATATATATATATATATATATATATACATACATACAAGTATACATATGAGTATACATACATACATATATATGTATATATATATATATATACATACATATGTATGTATGTATATATGTGTGTATATATATATATGTATGTGTGTGTATATATATAT